ACCACAAAACCAGACCAGAGACCTCCCTGGGGGCTCACAGTCTGGGAAGGAGACACAGCGCTTGAAAGGGGTCCACACAAATGGAGGTCCCTCTCCAGACACAACCAGACTCCCGGTTCCCAGGACCTGGCCTCTCTGGGAGCCCCGGGCTCCCTCCTGTCCTCAGGGCTGTGTGCACACCTACGGCACCTGGGGCCCCGGAAAGCCGCCCCTGAAACAGGGTGTTGTGCAGTTGAGTCCTCAGACTGCCCAGAAGAGCCCCGGCATCCGGCCGTCCCTCCGTCAGAGAACAGGCAGTTTCGCCCGTGACCCCAGGGAGCAAAGCTGGACGTGGGGGGTGCGCAGTCCGACGGGCCTTTCAGGCTTGTGCCCTATCAGCTCCTGGGCTGGGCTCCTGTGGCCCCGCTGGGATAGAGTTGCAGGCTGGACCCCACCCATGGCTCCCTGTGCCGGGGGAGAGGCACAGGGATTCTTCCCTCTGCTCCCAGCCCTCCCCCTCCTGCGGGCCCAACTCCAGGTCACCTGCTGGCTTGGCCTCTTGGCCCCGCAGCCCCTGGTCAGCCCCTCCTGCCCTGCTCTGGCGTCCATCTCCTGCTCGGGGAGGCCAGCGGGAGCTCCCTGGAGACAGGTCCCCTCTGCTCCCAGCAGGTGGCCCTCAGCATGGCCTCCAGCTCCTCCTAGGGTCCACCCACCCTCCCCCGTCCAGACCCCCAGTTCCGCCCTCTTGGCTCTGGGCCTTGGCCGGCTCTGCCCTCCGTCCAGGATCCCAGTTGCTTCCCCTCGTGGCTGATGCCCCCTCCCTCCGGGCTCTCCTCCTCCCTGAAGCCTTCACCCACCCCTTGAACACTGGGCCTCCTTGGGGCTCCCCAAACACCCCAATTTTAGCAGAGCTCCTGCTGCATTAAAATTCTCTCTCTCCCTTCCCTGGGAGCGGTCTGTGTGATCAGGACGAGCGGCTTCGTCCACAGGAGAGGTGCCCCGTTGGTGCCCGGCTTCCACCTGGTTGTGACCCGGACAAGTTACCTGATCTTTCTGCACCTTGGGTTTCTCCTCTGCAAAATGGGGGTGAAGCGAAGACCGACCCCAAACTTAAAGATGAACAATAAAAAAACAAACGAAAATCCCTAAGACGAAAGTGCCCGCCTCCCAGGTTGCTGGAGAAATCCAGGAAGTCGGATGCAAAGTCCTCGGCCCTGTGCCCGGCCCAGGGTCAAGGAAGGTGGGTTGTCTGTGTGCAGCGCCCTCCATGAAGCTGTGGGCCCGGGGTCCGGGCAGCGGGGGGCTCAGGCCTGCCGCAGGATGAAGACCCCGTGCGGGGCTCACCGTCAGCCTCTCCTGAGCTTGGGTCTCACGTCGGAGCTAGGTCTAGAAGTGCCTGTGGCCGTGAAGAGGCCACCACCTGCCACATCTCTTTCCCGGGCCTCCACCCGGTCCCTGTCCAGCCTCCCACCTAGCCCTCACCTGTGGGTAGCTGGGCAGCGGTCAGGGTGCCCCTATAGGAGCTGTCCCTGGCCTGACAGGCCCTCCCTGGCACCAGGGCCCATGCCGGCCCCCCAGGCCCCCAGCGTGGCTGCAGCCCGCTGCCCAACCCGGCTGTCCTTCCCGGGTGGGGTGGCCTCCCTAGCCGGCCGTTTCCTTGGCAGCGTCACTAACGAGAGGGAAGGCGATCCGCGTCATTGACACGCTCCAGACATCTGGGCTCTGAGCTCCCGTGGGCTGGGGTGCCCTGGACAGAGCTGGGAGGGAGCCTTGGGAGCAGCCGAGAGGGAGCTGGTGGTGGGCCACCGCGGGCGGAGGGAAGGAGTTGGGCGAGAAGAAGCGAAATTTAAAGTGGATGAATTATTTACTGCAGCAAACAATTCCGGACTCACTTACTCTCGCTGGGCGCATCCCCAGCTGTAATCTGCGGCATTTTTCACGTCTCCCCGGGGGGCCGCGGGGTTTTCTTTACGATTGGACGCCAGGGCCGGATCGGCTCAGTATCGATCACCGTCCTCCGCTCCAGGCCCCCGCCCACCCTGGACACTGCCCGCAGCCTGGACCACACCCCAGGCGGCCCGGGCTGGGTGGTGCGGCTGACGAGGGGTCGGGACCCAGGTGGGCAGTTGGAGCCCCCGGATGGAGGCCACTCGCCATCGTTGGTCTCGGCCCTCGGCGGTCACTCAATGCGCCTCCTGTCCTTATCTCAGCAGGACCCTGAGGCGGAGATTATTAATCCCATTTTTCAGACACCAGAGTAGCTGCTCGACACCAGCCCCTCCCGGGTCCTGGCCCAGCGATGCCTGTGCTTTATCACCTCGTCGTCTCCTCACAGCAGCCTGGTCACGGAGAGGCCCAGAGAGGCCACCTGGTCTGCCTGGAGTCACACGGTGAGTTGGTAGAATTGTCCCCAAGCCCTGCTGTCCTCACTGACATCATGGGGCACACACGGACCACCCCCGGGAGCGATGGAGGGGCACCCCAAGAAAAGGGTGAGTACGGCAGGTGCGGATGCGGCCTAGGTGCCGCCCCCCCCCCCCGACAAGGGTCATGCTTTGCCCTCCAGAAGGGACGTGTCCCCAAGGGCAAGCATCAGGCAGAGCGGGTGCCAGTGCCCGGTTCCCCTTGGGAGCGAGAGGCGGCCTTTGAGTAGAGATGAGGGGTCTTGCAGGCCGAGGGGACCTCGCTGGGCTGCCGTGCTGCCGGCCCCAGGCGGAGGAGAGGGGTCCTGGGGTGAGGCCCTGGGTCTGCGGGGCCTGCCCTCCTCCCTGGGGAGGAGGGAGCAGCCTCCCAGGCCCCAGGGCTGCAGGGCGGGAGCTTCGTGGGCGTCCTGCCCTCTCTGGGCTCCGACTTCCATCTGCAGAGTGACATCTTAGTCTAGGTCACTCCAAGTCCTGGATTGAGGGACAGAGGGTCAGGCAGCAGCTGGCTTGGTGCACCCTCCTCCACAAGGTCCGCTGGCGTGTTGGAACGAGCCTCCGAGCCTGGTGGCCAGCCCGCCACTCCACAGATGAGAAACCTGAGGTCCAGAAAGAGGGCAGAGGCCACATGTCCAGTCAGGGCAGGGCAGGACAGACCCAGGCATCCTGATTCCAAAGTCACACTTCCATCGTGGGTCACTCAGACTGCAAAGGCAACTTGACGCTGCGGCCACTTTTCTTGGGATGGGAAGGAAGTGGGTCTCGTCACAGGGCTGGGGCTCTAGTATCTGGCCACCTTTCTCTGTGAGTGTAACTGTAAATAACGCATCTGGGAGACTCCCAGCACTTTAAAGTGTTTAACGAGCAATAATGTGTGACCCACACTTTAAGTGGATCTTTTAATAATGAATAAGCATTTATTTAACAAGTAATAACAGCTTTACCACCCTCAGGATCCTCAGAAATTCAAAGTACTGGCCTCAGGTCCTCAGACTAGCATCTTCTGCCTGTATCTTTTGTTCATTTTAAAAAACGATCTTTCTCTTATTTATTGATAAATACTCTTTGCATATTAAGGGCATTCACCTTTTACCTGCTATGTGCAAATATCTTTTTCTGAAACTGTACATTTATTTTTTCTTAGATTTTTAGAGACGCTTAAATATTTTATGGAGTAAAATCTGTTTTGTTTTTTAACGTTGAGAGTTGCTTATGAACTCAACAGAGTTCAGGCACCAGAGCCTTGGTCATGGGAAACAGATTGGGTGACTGCCTTTCTTTGGGGGCCTCAGTTGTCCCATCTGTGTGACGATGTATTGAAACAGACCTGTTAGCCAGCCCCTGGCTGAATGTCCTGAATCCCAAGGGGGAGAGCTGCTGTGCACACGGGAATCGGCCTCCCACACCAGGTCCCCAGCCCTTGGCTTCAGGAACTGCCTGCTTTTGTTGTGTCCTGACAACCTGCAGAAGGCTGTCTGAGGGGAAGCCCTCAGGAGCCAGTCGCCTAAGTGACCTGCTGACCACACCCTGGTTGTTCTCCCAGCAGAGTACCCGGAAGGGATAAGACAGGGTACTGCCTGAGTTTGGATCCTGATTCTCTGTGCTGACTGTGTGACCTTGGGCAGATCACTTCACCTCTCTGAGCATCTCTTTTCTCCTGTGTGAAACTGAGACAACCCTCCAGTGCTGACTTTCAGGGTGAAGGAAAAGTTGATCCAGGAGCAAGAAACAGGGTACCTGCCGCAGGCACTCTGCACCTCCACCGTGTCTCCACAGCTGCCAGAGTGCCTGTGTCTTGACGTGACTGACGCTGTCTGGGGAGGGTCTTAGCTGGGTTCCTGCAGAGGAAGACCCAGAGGAAAGGGTTCGAGGGCAGGCACTTCAGTAGGAAGTGAAGTCCAGGAGGTACGAGGGCAGGGGGGAGGCTGCCCACCCAGGGCGCCCTCTCTGGCCTGCTACCCCTGGGGTTCACCCCTGAGTTCTTCTCCCCTCCCTCCCGGGGTGACCGGGCAGTGGACCTCCAGTTCCTAAGGGTCATCAGCTAAGAGCTGGTGCCACCCTGGTGGCCAGGTGGCTGACAAGCCCCAGGCCCAGAGGCGCAGGCAGCTGGAAGCCAAGGGCACCGACAGGCTCAGGCGGAGACCGGGGGCTGGAGACCCTCCCTGAAGGGCCGGAGGCAGACCCCCCAGGGGTGTAAGGAGAGGGCTGGGGGCCGAGGGGGTGAGCGGGGCCTGGACCTGTTGCTCCCTGCCTGAGACGGACAGCTGGCACCCAAGGGCAGAAGTGTCGCCTCTCAATAAGATGAAATCTAGTCTCCAGCGAGGAGACGACAGGGGCATTTATGGAGCCCTGGCAAAATTAACATTTGGACAGGGGACATGGCCAGAGCGGCCTCCGGGGGGTCTCTCTGCATTCAGTCCAGCTGGTTCCTGCCAGCGGCTGGACCACAAAGGGCGGTGGGGTCAGCCATCCAGCTGGCCTTGTAGGGGAGGGACGCCGACGGACAGATGCGGACACCCAGGGCAAAAGGAGACTGGGAGGACAGTCCCCCCGGCTGGAGCAGGAGGCTGCCAGGACACCCGGGGCTGAGTCCCGGCCCTGCCGCTCGCCGGTTCCCAGCCCGGGCCTCAGTTTCCCCACTGAAGGATGAGGGCACCCCCCCACACACACCCCCGCCCAGGCTGCTGGGTGGACCTGGGCTTCGAGACTCCAGGCATTTACAGCCGGGACGTCTGTCCCACTGTGGGCACTGCCGGACCTGAGCCCCGGTGCCCCCTGCACTACGGGCAGAATAACCTCCCTGTCCTGGGCCTGGGGCGGGCCAGAGGACGAGGAGTGAGACTGTGGCCCTCAGCTCTGCAGCTGCACTTGGTGGCTGGGGACGCAGGGAGGGCCTGTGACTGTCATTGTCCTTATCACCCCCCCACACACCCCAGACAGGGAATGAGAGGGCACGTGGCAGTCAGTCTGGTCAAAGGGACCACAGCCCCAGCCCAGGTCCCCAGCCAGCGTCCCCTCCCCCATCACAGCTGCCCCTCCCGCGCCCAGGAGTGAGAGGAGGCCCAAATCCAATTAGCCTGGGAGCCGACTGCAGATTGTCGCCCCTTTAATATCGCCCGAGAAGCTGCAGAGATAAATGGGAAATTAGAATTCTGCTGGGGTCCCCAGGACCCGCCTGCCAGCCCGCCCTGAGCCGGGCTGCCGCAGTGCTCCTGGGGACCGATGGGGCCGCCTCAGCCCTGATGGAGGCCTGCCCTGCGAGGCCTGGGCTGCGGCCCTGGCTCCCGGCCACCAGCTCCTGCACCTTCATTCCTGGCTGCCTCCCCTGCCCCCTGGAGGGCGGGCGTCCCGGGAGCAGGAGGGCACCTGCCCTGGTCACCTTCCTCCCTCAGTCTCCTCCAAGCCCAGGTCCTGCGCTCCCTGCCCTGGTGTGGACCCAAGACAGCTGGGCTCTGGGCAGGGCCAACTCCGGGGCCGAGCCTCCCCGGGGCCCGGGGGTACCTCCTTAGTGACCCCAGGAAGAGCAGGCTCAGGGTCTGCAGCGGGGGCTCCTTCTGAGGGACCCCAAGGAGGGTAGGAGGAGGGGGCGCCTGCAGCCTCGTCCCCGAGAGGGCCACGCTGCCTCCCGGAGCCCAGGCCACGCACAGCCCAGATGGGCCGCACTCCTGCTCAGGCCTCTTTACAGTGGGGAAGGGGCAGACGTCCTGGAGGCCCAAGCCGGGGCCTGACACCAAGGCCTGAGCCTGGGAAGCCACAGGCCCTCCCGTGATCAACCCAGAGCCACCGAGCTCCCCTGCTCCCTCCCTCGGGGGACACATTTGCTACTGGGAAAGTTAATCCATTACAGTTTAAAGGCTCCGTTCCTCGCTGGCACTAAATTACCTGCTTTGCATTTTGCAGCAACAACTTAACGGTATTAATTTATTGTGCTCTGTCTTTAACAAACATCATTATCATATTGCCAGCCAGGATTATGCAAATGGAGGGACAAGGGAGAAAGAGGCCGATTCTTGTCCCCAAAGTCACCTTGATTTATTAACTTTGGGGCCCTGCAATTGGCCAGGTCTGGGAGACCCAGGTGGGCGGGGAGGCCCAGGTGGGCGGGGAGGCCCAGGTGGGCGGGGAGGCCCAGGTGGGCAGGAGAACATGGAAGTCTGGTCAGAGTCCTGAGACCATGGGTCTGTCAGGGGAGTCCCCTTGAAGGGAAGGAGGGCTGGGGCTCAGAGGGCTTCCCTTGTCATGTGACTCTGCACAAGTCCACTCCCTCTCAGGGCCTCAGTTTCCCCACCCGTGAAATGGGGCTTGGATCAAGAGGTCTCGGGGCTGACAGGTTGTGAACTTGGGATTCAGCAGTGCACTCGGAGTGATCCCAAAGAGGGGTCAGTGTGTTGGGGCTGAGTAGAGAAGGACCACGTGATCCTGGGGCCAGGGCCCTCCGGGTGCTGCTGCTCCCCGCCCCAGACCGCCGGACCACTCTTCCTGTGGAACTGGGTCCAGGGGAGGGGGACTGGCTGCCTGTCGGGCCCTGGCTAAGAGGTTCCTAGACTTAGGCTGCTGGTTGAGAAGGGTGAGCCAGGACCACGCCGGAGATGACAAGAGTGGCCTCTCATGTGCCACGGGCCTGAGGGCCGGGCTGGCCCACTGCACTGTGGAGGGCCAGCCCCCTGGACAGCGGCTCAGCTCCTTGTGAGTTTCTGAACTGAGCCCCCCCACCCGCCGCCTCACGAGGCCCCGGTTGCCTGTTTGGAGAGCTGGAGGCAGGTGGCCAGGCCGTCCCCTGCCACTCCCGTCCACACCCCTGTCTCCTGGTGTGGGAGAGCTCCCTGCTTACACAGCTGACTGCCCCCGGCCACGGCGGCCCAGTCCCCACACCTGCAGCCCGGCTCTGCCAGGAACTCACTGCGGTTGCTTCCAAGCACCCGTGGGCTCTGGCCCAGGTTCCGCCCGGGGCCATCAGGGCCTGTCCCCCTGCCCTGTGAAGGCGCCAAGGTGGGGGCTGGACAGGGGCCAGCAGGGAGGAGAGGGCAGAACCTGTGGGGCCCAACTCCGGCTTGATGGGCGCGGGCCAGCGGCAGGGGGGACGGGCCGGGAGAGCAGCTGC